GAGACATTTAACAGGAGACTCTCAGGATGAGGATGACTGCCAGCAGTCTCCGCGCGAATCGAAGTCAAAGTGGCGCTAACTACGCAAGCAGGATGTACGCACAGTCCACTAATATCCACTGTTTGTATCCTCGTTAACTCGATACTACCGGCTTCTAAAATAATAGCACGACCATTTCATTGAATGAAGATTGATAGAAATTTTTCAAAATCAATTTTAAATGAAGAAGCAACCTTACCCACGCCATTTTGCAACACCATATCATAGATAATAATTTGAGCATTGGCACAGAAGGTTAAAAGTCTATCTTTCGTCGTATTCAGTAACAGCACCTGTGAAGGCATTCTGATACTTTTGACATAATTATTATCAAGTCGAGTATCGCGTGGGTAAATTCTAATCTCGTCTTTATCGTCTAATATAGAATAACTGCTAGCTATGAGATATCCTTTATGCCATAGCAATCCTCCAGTTACTATAAAGTCCCGCTCTTGACTCTCATTACCGAATAACTTCCATTTTCTTGAAGGTAAGGAATAATGTGCTAATCCTGTTCGACCGGCCACTGCAAGGCTCAAACCTTCGCTGTCTATTGCAGTATACTATAAACATATATGTGAATTAACACATAATAAAAAAAGTTAAAATTTTTTTCATTAATGTTATGTATTATAGTATTATAGTTAACAAAATTATTTATTAAAAATTATTTTTATTAATACTACATGATTACTACTACATATCATATAAAATAAAATTAAATAATATGGAAATTGTTGGTTTACAATATGTTTTCTTAAAATATACTAATATTGTTATATTATACTTATAAATATTATATTTACCCGAATTGGCCAATTGGAACCGCTGTATGCAGTCGGAATAGGCACAACAAGCCATTGTTTGCAGCCGGCAAGTGTCTGAAGCATACTGTCGTTGGGCATTTCGGCAGCAAGATGAAAACCCGAAGCAGTCGAAGATAATCCGGCTCCTAAATTTAAATATAGTCTATCCTCGCCTTGAAGATATAGATGTCCGTGATGGCCCATGCACGGATTGATAGTCAGAGGGCTTTTAGCGAAATCTAATTGAATAAGAGAGCGACTTAAATTGGTGGTTTTATTGCCATTTTCGTTGGTCACTAAAGATCCTGGAGATTCTCGCAGCATCCATAACTGATAGCCCTCCGCAGACCATTCCATCATATGAATATGTAGAGGATTATCATGTGTCAGATCTACGCGTAGACCGTAATCCCATTTCAAACTACAGAGCAACAGAGCACCAAAGGTACTCCACAGTGCTAAACCGCCACCTTCCCAAGCGAGAGCGATTGCACAACTATCAGGTGTCCATCTGAGACACTTGACGCTACCCGGTCGACCTGGATAATCTTTGGAAGATAGACTCAAGGTATGCGACATTTCTAAACCACCAGTTGTCTCGTCTACATAATATACGACACCTTCGGAACTGCAAATTAAAATATTTGTAGTTAAAAGCTAACTAATTAGAGAGAATATTACAAATTCAAGAATAGCATTATGAAATTAACTTACTTTTGTCTACCAATGGCAATTAGTCGATATTTATGATTAACAGCAGCGCAAGTAGCATCGTCTACATCCTGAGCCCAGATTCCTTGTACTTGATTAGGATCAAATTTCAAAGATTGAGCAGTGAGAAATGCAGCTTTGCCATTATTCAACACGATAGCAAAGCCTCCAACGAGAGGTGAATATTCAATATCAGTAACATAAATGTTATTCTCTGTAAGTGGTACAGCCACTGTGGAAATTTGCTGATCAATACTGAATGGTATACGTCTCAAATCTAAAGAATAGTCGCGATTCATGGTACCGTCCCATTTATGACGTACCACGTGGCTAGTTTTGGTTGCTACCATAAGTTCATCTCGTATACAAACTAACGAACTGATCCCACCGTCGATCCAAGCCGACTTTTCCTACAAAATAAACAAGAGAAAATTAAATTATTGTAGTCAGTAGCCGATGGATGATTTAATTAGTCTAATGATTCAATGATTAGTCTAATGATTTAGTTAGTCTAATGATTTAATTAGTTACAAATAATTGATTTTTATTTTAAATTTTCACGTCACGCTTGATAATGAGGAATTATCACAAAACTTACGAAACTCAAGACGAGGGATGGAATGACTTCTTTGATAAATAATTCCGCACTATCCCGTTTTAAACTGGTAACTGGTGAATCTCGTTGTTCATAAAGTCCTCGACCTTCCGCACTGTTGTCTGTAAGTTTGTAAAATAACAGGTAGCTATCTGATGTTGCAATAACCAGCATACTCGAGTCTGGTCTCCATTGTACCAAAATGTTCTCACCATGTTGCCACAAAGAATTTGCAGATCGTCTGCTAAATACAATTGGTACACAAGGCTGCAATATATATAAATTGTATTTTAGAAATTATTAAATACAGAAACATCCAAGGAAATTACAAGAGAATGTATGCAGTTTAATATGTAATAAATTTAATCATATAAGATATGAAGTGAATATACAGGATGTTTTCCAAGAAACAGATGACATAGTATAACACAGTGAAACACTTTTATCTTTGCATTATTATCTTTACATTTTTATCTTTACATTACAAACAACAAGAATGTTGTGCTTCACTGTACTCATTCCTTGCCGAAAAATACAATCTTAATGAAATCTATGTATATACTATAATGTTTTGCTTATTAGATAGATTTTATTATGACTGTATTAGTATCCTGGGAGATTTTAATGACTTAGCTAAAACCTGTACAGTACAAATCATTTCAGCAATATTGCAGTAACATCGCAACGTTGCAGCAATATTGACGCAAGCTGTATTGTATGAAAGCAGATTCTTGGCCTAAATTACGTGCCTTGCAGTACCAGATGACAAGAGAGTCCGCGGTGAGAACGGCGAACATAATTTTATCTCTGTTGCACACCACCGCGTTTATTTTGGCCTGCTCGCAGGTGTTGAGAACCCGCGGCCATCCTACGGGGAAAAACATGTTTTCCGCGAAAGAGCGTCCCGTCACTCATCACCAGATTTCCCTCATGTTTCGCCTACGTCTCTCCTCGATGCCGTAGATTTGACAACAGTTCCTAACCTCGACATAGCGAAACTCGGATCAGCTCGGTGGCAAATGGCAATTGAAGCATGGCGACTCGAGTAGATCAAGTAGATACACGTTGCAACGTGATGCAACGTTATCGGCGGGCCGATCCCTTGCAGCCGCGTTTCCTGTACCTTCCATTAGTATCTTCTCTCTCTTTATCGTTTCTCCCCGCCATCGGAGATCCGTATAATACTTTCTATAAATAGCACGTTAAGTGGAGCTTTGGATACTGGGCTTTATTATGATGATATTCAATATTCATGTATTATGACCGATTGTTGATGCTGGGTGCATTTGCAATCTCGTTCATTGTAATATAACGCGACTCAATTTTGTAATTCATGGTACAAGATATTTTGCGAAATGAAATTCTTGAAAGTGTAATAAATTTTGGGCTACGCCAAAATTTCTACTTGGTTACAGTTTTTTGGTTTTGTCAATCTTTGTATACAATTTAAAATCTTTATAATTATTTCTAAATTTTCCAAAATTAACAAATATACATCTAGTACATAGTAAAAAAAATAAGAATAAAATGAGGCAATATCATTAAAACTCCAAGATTGTTTCTTTTGTTAATAATATTATTACATCAATAAAACATATCAATGCATGCCTATAATTAATGCAATTTTATATATTTGAATATTTATACATCGAGCATACATAGTTCAATTAAATGAAAAAGAAAAAATAGCGAAATCGATTTGGCGATATTTTTTTCGCATTTAACGAATTTTATTCTATCATTTAATACACATTAAATATATATGTAATCGCAATTTATTTAGAGATAGAATATAGTGGATAGTATCTAAATTTCAACAAACAGAAATTAATGTTGCAAATGTAAGTAGAAAATACATGTTGCTATTGAATATATTATTAATATATTATTATATATTATTATATATATATTATTATATTCCTAATTATTAATTGTTAACAACTTTGAACGTTTATTTCTGCAGTGCTAAACTTCGCGTTTTTTTTTATGAATACAGAATATTTAATGTTTTCGTAAGAATTGCAACAGAATATAAATTGATTAGTTTTGCAATAATTCCATTAATTTTTATTTGTATAAACCATGATTAAAAAAATCCACTTCTGTATTCTCTCTCAAGCTGCGAGTCTCATACGTACCATTAAATTGCGCTTACGTATATTTTATGCGTTTTCCGAGTCTTCATGGAATTTCTGATGTAGCATCCGAACAGGTTACAAGGGAAGACAAGGAGTCGGGTTTGCGTACTGGTGATAGTGAATCACCGACGTCTCGTTTCCGCAGCTTCTTTATTTTCGCTCTTACTCGTCATCGCTGGTATTTATATGTATGTACAGAAAACTGTTAACCAATGTCGTTTGTAGAAAAATCGTGGGGGGGGGGGGGGATAAAAGGTATCGAGTTATTGTAAAAGTCATCTTGCACTTCTTGTTAGACGTTAATTGATAAAAGGAATAATTCGTAGAAAAAGGTTTTCTTCCTTGAGGATATTTGGATTTATCTTACCTATAACTGAATGAAAAGATAATTAGAGGAAACAACAGATCTCATATATCCCAACGAAATCTATTTTTGTCAAGGTCTATTACCGTGTTGTTCTCTCTAGTCTTACGTTCTTGAATTAATATAATCTGAATGATTAATATAAAAAAGCTACCAAGAAGACAAAATAATACGGACATCGCAAAAACGATATATTATTTTTTATCTGATTAGATTGTATAGCTACCGTAGATGTGAGAGCGATAAAAATGAGGAATTATTTTGTTCAAAAGGATAATGAACTTGACAAGTTACTAATGAAGTAACAACGTCAACGAAGAGTAATAATGACATATTTCTCCTCGAAATATCGGATATATACAGAATTTATTTCCGTATAGTAATTAGAAAATATAATTAAGCCGCGCTAAATTATGTTGATGTTCGTTATGAAGTAGTTGGTAGGTGTACGTTGTTTCGCGATAGCTCGCGCGAAGTTCGCTCTTCCTCCTTGCGGACTCCCACGAGACGAAAATATATATCATCGGCCAGAGATAAACATCCCGTATTCTTTCCTGCGAAACTCCTTACGATGAAAAAAATGACGGAGCCATTTCGACAAGCGAAATGTCCGCGCGCCGAGGAAACGCGGCAGCGCAATCTTGCATGCACGAGGAGCCAATCTGCGCGATTGGATCATCGTTCTCTCATTTCCGATCGTAGCTCGCGATAAAGTCCTCACGAGGAACTCCGTTGTAGACAATGTTGCCAAGTTCGTCTCTCGCAAGTCATACAAAGGAGGATGAGTTACGGCTGATGTACGCCGTCGTTCGCCCGGTGGCATATTCGCACGGAAACTATCGGTGTATGCACGGAAACTATTACAATAGTTATTTCTTCTTCTGGGCTTTCTCAGCGGCCTTGGTGACTTTGCCCGCTTGATCCTTAAAGGTGACGGCCTTGATGACGCCAACAGCTACTGTCTGACGCATGTCACGAACAGCGAAACGTCCCAAAGGTGGGAACTCTTGGAAAGCCTCAACACACATGGGCTTGCTGGGTACCAGGACAACAATGGCGGCATCACCGGACTTGATGGCCTTCGGGTTTTCTTCGGTGGTTTTGCCAGTACGGCGATCGCACTTCTCCTTAATTTCAGCGAACTTGCAGGCGATGTGAGCAGTGTGGCAATCCAATACAGGTGTGTATCCGTTGCTGATTTGACCAGGATGATTGAGCACGATGACCTATGATATAAATAATTATATTAATTATATGTTCAGAAATCATATCTTATAATGTTTTAAAGTTAATAGAATTTAATTTTAATATTTGAACACATTAAGACACTCAGACGTATTCGACCATCACTAGCAAACTTCTGGTGAAAACCGCGAATGAGATAATCAATTTTTCATCATAGTGTCAAAAAGACTAATAAAACGAGTGCAATTAAGTGTAATAAACTTACCTGTGCAGTGAAATCAGCAGCACCCTTGGGTGGGTTATTCTTGGAATCTCCAGCGACGTATCCACGGCGCAATTCTTTAACAGACACGTTCTTGACGTTGAAACCAACGTTATCGCCGGGCACAGCCTCCTGCAGAGCTTCGTGATGCATTTCAACGGACTTAACTTCAGTCGTCAATCCAGCGGGTGCAAAAGTAACGACCATACCAGGTTTCAGTACACCAGTCTCAACACGACCGACGGGTACTGTTCCAATACCACCAATCTTGTACACGTCCTGCAATCACAAAAAAAAATTATTATTCTGCTTCAATAAAGTTAATCATGCATTCTATATCTCAAAGAATCAGACGAATCTTGGCCATCAACGGATTAAAAATCCTATGGTGAAAACCGCGAATGAGATAATTAATTTTTCATCATAGTGTCAAAAAGACTAATAAAGCAAGTGCAATGAATGAAATTAATATTATATTATAAGTATCACACCATGTAAATTATTCGCTAAAATTAAGAATTGCGTAATTAAAATATCAATGTTACCTGAAGGGGAAGACGAAGGGCCTTGTCAGTTGGCCTGGTAGGTGGTAGGATGGCATCCAAAGCTTCGATAAGACATTTACCTTCGGCTTTGCCTTCCTTTCGCTCTACAGCCCATCCCTTAAACCAGGGCATCTTGGCGGATACTTCCAACATATTGTCTCCGTGCCAGCCGGAGATTGGCACGAATGCAACAGCGGCTGGATTGTAACCGATCTTTTTGATGTAGGACGACACTTCCTTCTTAATTTCCTCGAATCGAGTCTCAGAATACGGGGGCTCGGTGGAATCCATTTTGTTAACTCCGACAATCAACTGCTTGACACCAAGGGTGAACGCGAGAAGAGCGTGCTCGCGAGTCTGTCCATTCTTTGAAATTCCAGCCTCGAATTCACCAGTACCAGCAGCGACGATCAATACGGCACAATCAGCCTGCGAGGTACCAGTGATCATGTTTTTGATAAAATCTCTGTGTCCAGGAGCATCGATAATCGTCACATAGTATTTAGAGGTTTCAAACTTCCACAAGGCAATGTCAATAGTAATACCACGCTCACGTTCGGCCTTAAGTTTGTCGAGTACCCAGGCATATTTGAAGGAACCTTTGCCCATCTAAAAAGTAATAACCTGATTAGATTCATTCTATCAGATCTTTTTTAAGGATCCTTTTCTTCTATTGTTATTTAGACGTTTTAACAAATCTCAATATTATTAATAAAAACTTTAGTTGCAATTTTGCGCTCGCGAGCATTCAATTGTTCTTGTTTAACATTTGATAAACAAGGAAAAATGATTCTAAGAATATTGCGAACGCCAAATAGAACGCAGTTATTGATGAAAAGACATTCAGACATTTTTAGCCGTCAACGGATTCAAAGATAATCCTCACGTGAAAGCCGCGAACGAAAGAAAAATGTATCATTATTGTCACAAGTTCATTCTTACACAAAATGTGTTTTTCGATCAATGTACCATCATTTTCAAATCTATTGTTATACAAAACATATTTTTAAGATTATTCTATATTTGTGTAAAGATAGTCGTATTTGTAAAAATTGACCAATCAATTGAATATCTTTCTCATATTTGACTGTAATTAATCAATTCTTACAACTACATTTATGTAATTATAGAATGTTTTGTCTAAAAATTATTGAACATTACCTCCTGGGCTTCTTTCTCGAATTTCTCAATGGTACGCTTGTCGATACCACCGCATTTGTAGATCAAGTGACCAGTAGTGGTCGACTTGCCGGAATCGACGTGTCCAATAACGACGATATTAATGTGTATCTTCTCCTTGCCCATTTTTGTAGTTTAGGAGAGTTCTTCTAGTACTCTGAAAACAAAAATACAGGAGTTAGAAAATATTGTTGGATAAAATTCAGGCTTTCAATTGTATTATAATGGAACAAATGAGTTCTGATATGCTTGAGACTTGTCCCAATTTTTAAATAGTAGTAATTTGAAATAATTTAATGTTCAGAATTTTATTTCTTGATTATAAACTTGATAAATTCTAAAAATAATAAAAAAACTAAAAATTTTTTAAATAATAAGAAAACTTTAGAGCCAGTGAGCCCATATGTCCCTTAGCATATCAAAAATGTTGTGTTTTTGTTACGAGTTAATTCGCAACAATTTAATTCACGCATTGGAGACCATCCGATTATCTGTACCGAGTTAAATGATCATCGCAATATGGAATCGAACGACGTCTGGAGCGAGCGGAGCTCCGAGGAATTTCTGCGAATTCACGCCTTGGAATTTCTCTCCGCCCCAATCTTGCGCCGATCTCGCGTTGCGCTAAATGGTGCAATCGCTTTTCCAGGCGCTTCTCGAGCGCGCGCGGGGCATTCGGGATGTCGCAGCGGTCTTTGTCCGCCGTCCACGTGGCCGAACGTGAATATTCGAGAATGGCAGACAGCCGCCATTTTGTAAGTGACGACGAGAAGGAGCGGCGCGCTGTTGCCACGATTGTCGTGACGCTCAGCATCGCGCACAATGCCACATTATTACGGATTCTCTTTTTTTTTTCTTTCTTTCTTTCTCTCCTCGTGAAACTCTCCCGCATTCGGATGGACCGAGAAAGATTCGCGCTTCGCTGGAAGGTGAACGTGGCGAATCAGATGGCCAAATATGTCGCCTCCTTCGCGGTCCATCCAGCCAGCCAGCACGCGGTGACTCGCCGAAGGCGCGTGGAAAATTACGGAGGCCCCTCCTAAGAGCCTCAGGATGTCAATTATAATCTGCGGTCCTTGCGCGTTAAAACGTGACGGAATCGCCGATATTGCGGTTTTTGCGAAATCAACCGTTATCGTTTCGCGTAATCGTTCTCGGCAATCGACGGGAATCCAGATAACGCCCAGTTTTTTCCTCCGCGCGCCGAATCACCTCGCAAGAATCGGTCGAAAGTTCCTCTTCCCGTGTGATCCACCAACTTAACTTTCTGCGCGAAACGCAGACGCGCGCGATTCTTATATGTGTATCTCTGAATTTTTAACTCTGTAACGGAAAACGGATATAGAATTTCGGTTTGCGACCCGGCTTTGGAGCCACGCCGTGCCGGTAATGTCCTCGTTATCTTCTCCCCCGTAGAATTGATTTCCAGTGCCATATAACCTGAAAAGACAGGTTGAAGGCACTTTTATTGCCACCCGGAAAAAAAAATCGATCTCCATCACATTCCAGAAGTCTAGATGCAAGGTCGTCGCGTTGCACACGGCCTCCGGACTCACGATTCTCGAGTGAGAGAGAGAGAGAGAGAGAGAGAGAGAGAGAGAAGGGAGAAGAGAAAGAGGAGAGCACCTTTAACCTCGCGTTTCCGGTTTTTCGACTCCACCGTTATTCGCACGCATCCTGCCACAAGCACCGCGATTTTTCGGGCCGCGATTTTTCGAGCAGCACACGAGCGAGAATCGCGAGACTTTTATCGCGTGGAGAAAAAAATCGTCCTCCCCAATGGAGAGAAACAAGAGTGCTCGCGCATCGTCGCGAATTCCAGCGCTCTGACAAGCCGCACGGCCGCCATAGTGCATCCGGTCCGCTCCTCTCGCGATCTCGGACGCGCATCCGCCGCCGGCTCGCGACCGGCGTTTTCAATCCCGTTTACCCGCTCGTCCGTGATCTTATCCTCGTGATCGACAACGATCCCTCCGCGAAATGACGCCCGCTCATCGTTGACACGCCGATACGTAAAGATACAAGAGATCCTGGCCGGCGGGAACAGATAGAAGGCACAGCTAAACCGGCCATGCGGCACTTTACCGTGACTCGGCGAGAATACCGTTCGGGCGGAATTTTCACGGACAGCCATAACGAAATCGCGAAACTATATGCACAGCACAACACGCGGCGGCCTCGACCGTCGTTTTATTCCATACCTGTTGTCCGATGTCGTATCCTCGGATGAGATTCGTCGGATAGTTTTACCGGCGTACGAACAACGAACAACTACTCACCTTCAGATGCCACGACAGAAAGAGATCGTGCTCGCATATGACATGCGCAGATGTGCATACGGCGTTCGGGCGTAGCCTCGAGCCCAGACGATGGTCGCGATGGTGACGCTGGCGCCGCGCCGTCGCTCGCAGCGCCGCGGGACGTTGTCTCGCGATGCATTTTATTATGACACGATGAATGCGAATTCATGGCGGGAGATTCACGGTTTACGTTTTTCTTACAATTTCTAATGCTTTGTTTCAATTTTCGATGGAAATCGGTGATTTCCCTTTCTCTGCCCGGAGACGATTTGTCGTCAAACGCGTCTGGATTCGAGACTATCGATCGAGCAGCGCGCATGCGCGCGCTCGCACGCACACACGTGGATGATGTCCGGACACCTTGTGTGTGCACGCGCGCTTCTAGGATAATACGTACGTGTGTGCGTGCGCGTGATGAGATAGAGAGAGAGAAATAGAAGAAATAAAGGAGGAGAGAGACGGATGAGAGGATGTGTGCGAGGGAGTGAGACGACGCGTTGCAATCGGATATGCATTTATGCATCCATGCGCAACGTTTGATCGTGACTGTTGCGAACCCTGTTGCGTCGAAGCGAGGCAATTTTTAACAACAAGAGCTCTTCCTCGTGGTCCACGAGCGGAGTCTGGAGCATTCCGACTGTGGTGGAAATATAAAAGGTGTGCTTTTGCGTATTTTGAACAGAAGAGCGATATCTAGTCGCCATGGTGCCGCGGGTATTTGAAGTTAGCGCTATGTCATTATGTCATTATGACATTATGTTGAGTTTTATCCTTTGAAATTGAAAAAAAATGTAAATTTCTGCATCCTTTTTTTTGGGAAATTATTTGTATATGTTTTTACTTGACAATTTATTCATATCCGCAATATGTTACTTCAAAGTTACTGCGGTGTAAATGCGGTTTAAATGGCCACATACGCAGAACGATACGAAATTCGTTTCGAAAATGAGCACACTTTTTATACTTCCATCATCACGGCTGATCGAAGAGCATATTGCGCTTTGACGTACTGCAGCATGCGATTCTAGAATATTCTTGCGTTGCATTTCACAACGTTGAACATTACCCGTTGATTATCATTGCAAATTAAGAGTGACTTTGATCAAATTCCGATCAGCATAATCAAGCATTAAGTCAATTAGAAAAAAAGTAGTTTTATTGAAGTATCTAAAAATTTATCTATATAAGATACAGAGCTGAAATTAATTTTGTAAATTATTAAAATAATTAAATAGAACACTTGTGTTGATTGCTAGAATATCAAAACTTTTTGCAGCATTGCTCATTGTGCTTGAGCTTCCTACCTAATTATTTTGATACAATAAAATTATTTTCTGTATCTAGTTAAATTTTTAGATACTTCATCATCATTTTTTCCATGTAGAATTGTTTGGAGCAAAATTTCTAAACTACAAAACGTACTGAAAAAAATTTTACATGAAAATTATGATCAGAAAATTATTCAAATATGATTGGAAATTTATTGGAAATTATAAATTTTCAATCACATTTAAACATATGTAAAATTACATTTTTTTCAGTGTATATTTTTTTCAGTGTGAATTTTTTTCAGTGTATATTATAATTATCATATCATATTGAGTAAAATTTTATTCAGAAAAGACTTTTCGGAGTAGTCTAACTATGTGAAATATATTCTGTCCCCAATCTAATCTTTCTTGCATTTGTACATTTCCAGCAATTAATTATTTTATTCATATTAATAAAACAGTATTTCATAATTGATTCTTATATTTAAGATTGTCTTAAAATATCATAAGCCAATTACAAAACAGTAGTAGCTTAAGACATTACTTAAGATGCTAATACTGTTAAGATAGTTTTAAAATAAGAACGGACTATAAATACCGACCTTTGTGATCGGCTTATAATATTTTAGAACCGTACTTAAAATCTTAAATATAAGAATCAACTATGAATATACCAGGTATTGTTTAGGTATTGTTTGATAAGTTAATGAAATAGTTTAGATGTTGCTTGATAAAGTTTCGGAGTTTGATTGGAGCCGTTCTTGTGATAGTACCTCGTGATAGTTTTGCTACCTTTTTTTTTTGTATCTGGGCGATAAGATTCAATGGGACAGGTTTTCATGAATGGCTGAAGCTTCTCAATTTTTCACATTTTCCAGCAGGAATTCCTTCGTTTCTGCTAGTTTCCTTATTATTTTCCTTATTATTTTCCTTAAAAATATTGTTCGTTGATACAAAATTCTTTTAAGTTTTATTTCGCCCAAAGAAAAGAGAGACAAGAAGAATCTGTGACACATTTTATATTGAGTTTTTGCATTGATCTTTTCAGTTGTTGAATCGGAAGATATGTTATTTTAGCTCTCTACGAGATATCAACGTGATCGACAATTCGGTCATCGAGATAAATGGTGAAAGGTAAAAGAAAGAGATCGTGCTCTCGAGCGTTAACGGTTTTCGTTTTGTGCACGAAGCGAACCTATTTACCTGTCTGACGACAATGACGTTCTTCTCCTACGGACTTTTGTTTGCAACGACTTGTATTCGAACTAGAAAAACTTAAATTTATAGCACTATTCATCTTGGATTCTCAGAAAATCTTTTTATATAACTTTTATCTCTAATTTTTTTCTTTTTTAAATTAATTTCCTGTGAATTAAGCATAATCTGTTTAAGTGCAGATTTAAATTAATTTTATTTCTTTCTAAGATTTAAGGGATCATAATTTCTTTTGTCCTTCCTGGCTATGCTTATGATTTGTATTAACAATATTTTTTAAAAACTTATAATAGCTGGTATTACAATATATACAAGAACTTATCTATCTGTTTAACGAGAATGACATTCTTTTGAAACATCTTCGTGTTAATAAATTTTAGTATCTAATTTTAAAGCCATCTAGTAGACGAAATTTTCAGGCTCGAGAAATCGAATAATTAATTTCCTCAAGATTCTGTCCACATTGCGAAAATGAAGCAAATAAAATGATGGAATGGTTAATTGGAATGGAGAACTAATTAAAATTCAATTGTATCATCCACATCGTTAATTAAGGAACTTTAATTGCTACTGTTTTTAAATAATCTCGAGACCATTGCTTGATTAATTCTCTGTAATATATTAATATAAATAAAATATAAATAATAGTTCAATATTGCATTGACTCTTCAAATCTTTCTTCAAAAACTTTTTTTTTTAATGTTCTTTTTTTTTTACTGTCCAGACCATTGTTAGTATTCTACAATCCATTCTCTTCCTCAATCCATCAATATTAATCACACACAATCAGTAATATTGTTAGTATTTGTTAATACTGACAGTATTATTAATTATGTAGGATCACCTTAACATATTTGCAATTTTTAATTTTTTATTTATAGGACTGTGTGGTTTAAATCTTATAATTTCAGTTACATACACGAGTGCTGCAATTATTAAAGTGATCCTAATATCGATTATCAATAAACAATGGAATGTACTTCTGTGAGTCATAGAACGTATGTGTTACTGTTTTTATCTCAATGGTTTCCGCGAAAATTAATGACTCATCGTAAATTGTGAATGAATAGCATATATCCGTGCTTACGCAAGATGTATGTATGTATTTAGAATATCATTTCTGCAATTTTTGCTAATGCTATCCTAAGCAAAAAAGTTGTTAATTTACAAATTTTAATTTTGTTTATTATAATTTATTAATTTCTTTTTTATTTTATTTAGTATAAGTTTTCATTTTATTTATTATTTTACTTTTAAAC